TTAGGACATATGCAACGGATTTCACTCCATAAGGTGGACGGTCGTTGTAGATCGTGCGAGGAAGAGAGACCATATGCTAAAGAAGCATGAAGATAATGTAATGTTAATTTTGAATGAGGTTTTTCTCTTTACAAGGACACGAGCTTTGATTAGAGAGTGTGGATGCATAAGATTAAGGTCTTGGAGTAGTACATGAGTTGCCTAGTTGCCACTTGCCTTTACATTGTTTGTGTATTTTGCCTAGTTTTCACTGTTTTTACTTTCAACTTGTTTTGTCGATACTTTTCCTCCTAGTTATTACTTGTATCTACCTTACCTATTTGTATGTTGGTTTTATATGTACCTTCTCACCATGCTCCTTTTGATTTTCGATCTATTTTTCATTTTATTTGCTCGTATATGTGTCTTTTTTCCTTTGTGAAACTCTGTTGATTATTTCTTCTTTATGGGTTGACGTTTCACTTATACACGAATAAATAAAATATAGTTAAAAGTTTATCTCATTGACTAGGATTAAAGCAATGAACTACAACATGGTTATGTGATATGCATTGTACTCTGTAATACTCTTTACAAACACAACACGAAACAAATCGTAGTGACTGTAATTAAAATTATTAATCTAAGTAATTGCTACTAATAAGCAAAATAAACTAATGGATGATTACAAAAAAGAATAATGACTTGAAATGGTAACAAACTTTCAACCGGTTCACACTTAGGGAGGAGGGAGTCATTCCCTCCCAACCCACTGAACCCACTGCCACATCAGTTTTTCTCTTTCATTTTTCTTCATCTTTCCCAACCCACAACACACGAAAACCTTATATTTTTCAACCCACTCAACCCATTCAATTAAAAAAAAATACAAAACAATAAAGGTAAAATATTAATTAGCAATAGAGTTACCATCGGTACCTCCAAGATACAACTCCCTTATTTAATTGGTTTCACTAACCCACTTCATCCTCCCCTCTCTCTCCCTCTCTCTCTCTCTCTCTCTCATTTTCTCTTGTACCATGTGTTTTAAGACTTGTACATTAGTTGTTTTGTATTTTTTTTAATTGAGTGGGTTGAATGGATTGAAAAAGATATGATTTCCGTGTGTTGTGGGTTGGGAAAGATGAAGAAAAAAGAGAAACAAAAACTGATGTGACAGTGGGTTCAGTGGGTTAGGAGGGAACGACTCCCTCCTCCCTTAGTCACTGAACTTTTTTTCGTTCTTGATTTACCCATGAATTATTTGAAATGTTCACATTTTACCCTTATGACCGGTTGTAACCGGTCATAAGGATAAAATGTGAACAATTTTAAATAATTCAGGGGTAAATCAAACAGAAAAAAATTTGAATTATTAAAAATAAACAAAGTTGAAAGTTCGTTGACCTCTCTAGTCATTATCACCATTAAATTTGTCATATTTATGGTCCTCACTAAGAGTTAATTTCAACAAAGAAGTCATATATCTTATTTTTTCACTCTTGAGATGATCGAGTCTCGTGTACATTTTTTAGAGTTTTACATTCCACACCGGTCCCATCGTGAATTCACGGTTATTTTGGTAAACTCTTGAATTATGACTATTTTGTTTAGGGATGAGCATATGGACCGGGGAACCGGCCGGAACCGGTCGGGCCGGGACCGATACTATAATTTCATCAGTTTTTGGAACCGGGACCCGGTAAGAACCGGTCGTTGGAACCGGCCCAAAACCGGGAACCGGACCGGATAACTCACTTAAATTTTGAAACTTGCATAACTCACTCAATTTAAATTTTTTTGACCTGAATCTTTTTCCTACATGTAGATTATGATTTGTAGTTAAGTTTAGACTATAAAAACGCTTGATGTGGTTAAAAACTGAATGAGCTACAAGCCCCGCAAGGAAGGGTGTCAAATCGGAATTTTTTTTATGTTTCAGCAATTAAATGTAATCTGACTTTGTTGTTCAAATGTGCATAACTCACTCAATTTAACTTGTTTTGACTTGAATCTTTTTCCTAAATGTATATTAGGATTTTTAGTGAAGTTTAGACTATAAAAACGCTTGATATGGTTAAAAATTGAATGAGTTACAAGCCCCGCAAGGAAGGGTGTCAAATCAGATTTTTTTTTATGTTTTAGCAATTAAATGTAATCTGACTTTGTTGTTCAAATGTGCATAACTCAGTCCATTTAACTTGTTTTGACCTGAATCTTTTTCCTACATGTAGATTAGGGTTTTTAGTTAAGTTTAGACTATAAAAACGCTTGATTTGGTTAAAAATTGAATGAGCTACAAGCCCCACAAGGAAGGGTGTTAAATCAGAATTTTTTTTATGTTTCAACAATTAAATGTAATATGACTTTGTTGTTCAAATGTGCATAACTCAGTCAACTTAACTTTTTTTACCTGAATCTTTTTCCGACATGTAGATTAGGATTTTTAGTTAAGTTTAGACTATTAAAACGCTTGATTTGGTTAAAAATTGAATGAGTTACAAGCCCCGCAAGGAAGGGTGTCAAATCAGAATTTTTTTATGTTACATCAATTAAATGTAATTTGACTTTGTTGTTCAAATGTACATAACTCACTCAATTTAAGTTTTTTTGACCTAAATCTTTTTCCTACACGTAGTTTAGGTTTTGTAATTAAGTTTAGACTATAAAAACGCTTGATTTGGTTAAAAATTAAATGAGTTACAAGCCCCGCAAGGAAGGGTGTCAAATCATAATTTTTTATGTTACATCAATTAAACGTAATCTGACTTTGTTGTTCAAATGTGCATAACTCAATCAATTTAAATTTTTTTTGACCTGAATTTTTTTCCTACACGTAGTTAAGGTTTTGTAGTTAAGTTTAGACTATAAAAACGCTTGATTTGGTTAAAAACTGAATGAGTTACAAGCCCCGCAAGGAAGCGTGTCAAATCAGACCGGTTCCAAAATCGAAAACCCGGAAAAAACCAGACCTGGAACCGAAACCGGTAGAACCGACGGGCCGGTTCGGTTCTTGATTTTGGCCGAAGCCGGTTCCCGGGTCAGGTCCGTGTCGGGCCGGTTCCGGCCGTTTGCTCATGCCTAATTTTGTTAAAAGTCATTTACCATTATGTTTTTGTGATTTCTCTAGAAGTTTGATTAGTTGGATTTCATATTTGGTAATTCATATACTAAACTAGTAAACTTTTAGATGTCAATTTTAAAAATATAATTTATAGAATAAAAAACAACCGAAAAATGCATGTAATTTACCATTTGAAATATACTATGCACTCTACCGAATCATACATACTTATAAAGCTAGCATTTTTTCTTGAATCTCATGCATTTGAAACCCCATTTTTTAACTTCCTCAAACCACATTCATTTGAAACCCCCTTTTTTTTAGCTAATGCAACTCAAAAGTTTTATTAATTATGATTTAACACTCAAAAGTTTTATAACTTATATTATGTTTAATTAGCATTTAGTGAAAATTTTACTATAAAAAGGTCAATCTTTTTGGAAGACATGCATACAAATCATATACAAATTTCAAAAAGAAAACAAATTTAAAGGTTTTTATGTTGGGTTGAGGTCTTATAACTACTTTTGGTGATATGCTATTATATTAGAGTTTTTAATTTGTAAGTTTGTTATACTAATTCGTTTTTATATTTTCTTCGTTTTTGGAGTATGTAATACAGGTGTTGTATATTGTGGTTTAATCGTTAATATATTGATCATATGTTATATAGGGTGATGTCGAAAATATTTAATTAAATATTTTAAATATGTTTTTTTTGTGTTTTGTAATTGTACCGTTTCAAAAATATAATTAATTAAAACTCATACATATGTTATACTTTCCATCTCTCTCTCTCTCTCTCTATATATATATATATATATATATATATATATATATATATATATATATATATATATATATATATATATTATAATAGAGGTAAAAACACTTCAACCAAAATTCAGTTAAAATCTAATATTTCAAATGTTTTTTAATAATGATTGTAAAAATTTCAACATGTGTTACTTAATTGATTGATTAATAATAATATTAATGTTGTGAAACTCCTAACTCTTAAACTTATATTATTTAATTTGTTAGTTAACTAAAATATTTTTCCTACATAAAGATAACATTTTTATGTTTGGTTACTCATATTTGTTTATGTAATTAGAAAACAAGGTGTACATAGAATGACTATTTCAATTTCACATAGGAATTGATACTACTAGAGAGATATGTTGTCTTTAACCGGTGGTAGAATATCCACATACCATTTTTAATTATTTATATTAATGCTTAGTAATATCTATTTTATATTCCTATTGACCTTAATTTTTTAGGTACAAATTAAGGAAGATGATTTCTCGGCGCACCAACATAAAGTCAAACGTACGCCTTGCAAAATATGTAATTAAAATTAAATATCATATTTACTAATCGACTTATTTTATAACTCTTGATGACATTTATGTATAATGATATATTTTGTATGACTTCATTCTTAATTTCAATGTTTAATATTTGAAAGTTCATATATGAAACCTTGTATATTTTGGTGTAATATAAATAGTGTAATACAAAGTTTATTAGTTCAATATTGTTTATTAATAGCTCATTCAAAACAACTTATTTCTTATTTTATCCAAAAAATATTATCGGACATAAGAAAAGTAGATTATATTAATGTTATACAAAAACTTATAATATATATTGGATATTATAAAAGTAAAAGTAAAGTTTATAATGTATGAACTATATTAGATAGTATCAAAATATAAGTTGATGAATTTTTATGTTATTTGATAATTCGGTTAATGCCCAAAACATGACTAAAAATGTAAATTTCAACATATTTCTATTTTTTTCCATAATTATTTTAACCACTTAAATGCATTCTTGCGCAACGCGCGAGGTTAGGCCTAGTTATATATATATGACTGTACAATTTCATGTAAAAATCGCATAAAATAATATTGAACTAGATTTGATTTTATTATTTAATTATTCAAATCCAAGATTTAAAAGCTCATCATCTCCTGTCATCTCTCTCTAGGCTCCTCCAAATATTCTTACACCAGAGGATTGCCCAAAACACACTGTCTCTCTTTCTCTTTCTCTCTCTCCTCTTTCTATTAATTTATACTATTCCCATCAATCCCAGCTACAAATTCCATTTCTTTTCATTTATATACACAAAGGAGTGGAGGAATAACCAAGAAATATGTAAAGTTTTTTTTAGTTAAATTATAATAACAATACCTTGCCTTTGGGGAAGAAACCCACATCCTCCGTTCTCAATTATATGCATATTCATTCTTAGATCTTACCCACCTTCAAATCAGACCTCCATTAATGGTAAGTGTATACAGAAACCAATTTTCTTGTGTAGATTTGCCTAATTTTGTTTTGTATTGATCGATTTCTGTGATCTATTTGAATTGTGGGTTTTTATGAATCTGAAATCTACTTGAGATTGATGTTTGAGGGATCCGATTTTCTTGATTTTAGTTCGTGAATACTCGGACTGTTTTCCGATCACTCTTTGGTACCCGATTCTGCCTAATTTTGTCCGGATAAGGTAAGCATTTACTTGTTTTAATCCTTTCTTATCTACATTTTGATCTGTTGAAACTGGAAATATGCATAATTGTATTGTTCTATCTGCTTCTTCACTAAATTTTTGTTGGACTCATGAAATCTGTAGCGTTTGGATTGCTTTGCATCGATGTAATAGGGTAAAGTTTCGATTTTTAATCAGAATTATGATATCTTTCATACTGTCGTTGTTGTAGTTGAATTGGGTTAGCAACTGAGCATCCCGATTAGTTTTTAGTTGAGGGTTATATCCAATTTCATGGCAATTCAACATGGGGTTATAGTAAAGATGGAATCGGATTTCGGTAAACTATTCATTGGTGGGATTTCATGGGACACCGATGAAGCTCGATTGAAAGAGTATTTTAGTGGTTATGGTGAAGTTATCGAAGCCGTGATCATGAGAGATCGTATCACTGGTCGTGCTCGTGGATTTGGTTTCATCGTCTTCGCTGATCCCGCTGTTGCAGAGAGAGTCGTGATGGAGAAACATATGATTGATGGTCGAACCGTAAGTTAATTCATAAATTCTCTAACCCTAATTAATAACAATCAACAATGCGATTTAGATTCTTAATTTCATTAAAAAAAAAAAATCACACAGGTCGAAGCCAAAAAAGCTGTTCCTAGAGAAGACCACCATGGATTGAACTTGAACAGAAACAACAACAACAGCATTCAAGGATCACCAGGTCCGGGAGGTCGTACAAAGAAGATATTCGTAGGAGGATTAGCGTCAACAGTCACCGAGAGTGATTTCAAGAAATACTTTGATCAATTTGGTACGATTACAGATGTGGTGGTGATGTATGATCACAACACTCAAAGGCCAAGAGGTTTTGGTTTCATCACGTTTGATTCAGAGGAATCAGTGGATCGTGTTTTGCATAAAACCTTCCATGAACTCAATGGCAAAATGGTTGAAGTCAAACGGGCTGTCCCAAAAGAGTTATCCCCGGGCCCCAGTCGAAGCCCGTTGGTTGGAGTTGGATTCAACTACGGGTTAACCCGACCCAACACTTTCCTCACCAGCACCTACCCGCAAGGTTACAACATGAGCTCAATTTATGGAGGTCGAACCGATAGCCGGTTCAGCCCGATTGCACAATCGGGCCGAAACGGGTTCTCACCGTTTGGGTCATCCGGTTATGGGATGGGCATGAACCTGGACCCGGGTTTGAGCCCGAATGCATTTGGAACGACCTCTAACAACATGGGTTACGGGCGGGTTTTGAGCCCGTACTCGAATCGGTTCGTTACCCCGATCGGTTACAACCAAAGTAATGTTAATGTTAGAAACGAGTCGTTTATAGGGTCAACAACTCGAAATGTTTGGGGAAATGGTGGTGGGCTGACGAGCCCGGGTGGGTCCGGTCCTTATTTGGGTTCGGGAACCAACGGTGGGTTTGGAGTATTTGGAAACGGGTCGAACTGGGGTTCGAACCCGATATCTACTCAAGGTGGTGGAGTGAGCTCGTCTGGCTACAGTGGTGGAAGTATAGGCGAAAACAACTATGGAATTGGAGGTGGTGGTGGTGGACTTGGAAGAAACAATGGGGTAACCCATGAAGGGTCTTATGGTAATTTATACCGTGGGGGTTCAATGTATGGTGAAACCACTTGGCAGCAGCAGCCTTCTAATGAGCTTGAGGGTCCGGGTTCCGGTGCGGATTCATTTGGTTATGGGCTTGATAATTCGGAAGATGTCACAGGCAGAAGTTCTGAGGGCTATGTTGGTAATTATAGCATTGCAAATAGACAAACTAATAGGGGTATGTGTTATGTGTATGTCTAATTATATAAATAACAAAATTGACCAAAATGGGTAGGAGTTATTTAACAAAATAACATCTTTTTGGGGCTTATCACAAAATGACCACCTATTTCACAATGAGCCTCCTTAGAAATTGCAAAATTGTTTTTGTTTTTTTTAATGGTCTACACCACAAAAAAAAAAGATATATTGCGAAATACTACATGATTTTTCTTGGAAGGTTTTTATGGTCAAAAAACAATTTCACAATTTGCAAAATGGTGGTCATTTTGTTAAAAATGCATCCATATTGGTCATTTTTGTAATTATCCTCCCTATATTCGTTTTGCTAATTTTAGAATATTTTCAAGATTTACATGTAGATATGTTGGTTTTAACTCTGCTTTTGGTGAATGACAGGGATTGCTGCATAGAAGTTTTTCAAGATTTGCATACAAGAAAGAAGGTAACTTTTAGGAGGAAGTGTTATTTGGTAGAAAACCCAAACCCTCTTTAGTATACAACACGAGGCAGGTTTTAAGGCTATTTGGTTTTGTGGATTCTTCAGAAAAAAGATATAAACTACAAGATTTGATGGCTTTTAAAAAGGGGATTGGATTTGGTGACAAATTATGAATTTTGAATTTTGAATTGACGTTTAGGTTTCCAGTTCAGCATGTGTTCTTGGACAACCCCAACCCCCCCAGTAAGTTCCACTTTTGATGTGTTGTTGTGCATCTTTTCAACATGATGAGAGTGGTTAGATTTAGATCAAAATAATTTGTGTTTCTTTCTTTCATTTCGGATTTTATTTCTTCTTATTGTTGAGTTGTTGTAATGTCTGGTAAATTTGCCAGTACTTGATGATGTTGCTTTTCTTTTCTGAGAATGTACTTTCAGCTTTCTGTTTGATTTACAAATTAAGTGTGAATGATTTAGAGAGATGTAATCCTTATCCTTTAGGATTCGAATTAATTAATAAGTTGAATGAATGTTCGGTTTTTTTTTGTCATCATGGTTTGCATGTTTATATATGTTTTCGAACGAGGTTTAAATGATCTCGTGACATAATCATTTTCATCAGCCTTCTGTTCTTTAGGCCATTTACTCTGTCTAATCATTTAACTTGTTTATTTTAGTTTATGTCTTTTGGGGTTCTTAAATATCTCTATGGCTTTGTCATAATGTTATTTTTAGAGCAACATGACATAAACCCTACATCACCAATAGATGAAAACAGTATTGAAATATGTTCCAATTTCAACAATATGGTATAAAGATGATGTTCTTCTTGTTCTTATGTTCTATCAAGGAAGATCTATCTTTGAACTAAAATCTTTTTTCAGAACCGAATGAAATAAGTTAACATAATAACTATAACGACAAACAAACTATGTTACTGCTAACTAGGTAATAGCCAGTAATTGCCCTTAGTTTGACTCAACTAATGTGCGATATACTATTTCTAGCATAGTTATAATAAAAGATCAAAAGCGGGGATAGCTCAGTTGGGAGAGCGTCAGACTGAAGATCTGAAGGTCACGTGTTCGATCCACGTTCACCGCATTTTTATTTCTCCAATTATACAACCTCTCGTAATTCTTCGTTAAAAGCTCAGTTTTGTGTGTTGTTCAGATTTTCTATATATTAGGGATGGTTTTTTTTCTTCATATTTTCACTTTAAACAACTTAAATAACAACAAAATCTCCGATGAGAAACAAACAAACTATAAGCGGGTTAGGCTAAGTAACAGAGAAACTGACATGAATATAAACAAGGACTACTAGCTTTGAAAGCATGATGTCTGGATAAATAATATACTTATAATGAAAAGACAGGTTTTACAAGTTAGGTAAGTCATCGATGGAATATATGTTAGCTGCTGAGGTTGAAATTTGTGGTCAACTTTCAAGTTGGTTTACCAGGTCTTAAGTGAGTCCTATTCGTAAGGATATGGTGGGTAGAGTTTTCAATAATCACGTATGCAATGTATCTTTTTTCTTTTAGTAAAAATCTTAAATTTTCCATTTAAGCATCAATATTATATACTTGCATCATGGCATTGAACATTTCATTCTGCACTTTAACTCCTCTAATACTTCTTCATTGTTTCATAGTATCTCCTTATCTATTGAACATTCTCTAGTTATCATCATCATGAATCAAAAACTTGTACTTAGTACATAAGTACATGTATACCTTCATGCTTGACACCTTGCACCTCTTATTCATTTCTTTTTATAACATCTACAATATATAGTTTAATTGAATTTTTGGATAATGTGGAATGAGTAATTGTCTTTAAATAGATTAAACATGATCATAGTTGGATGTTGTTGGCGTTTAATTAATATGAAGTTCAATGACCATTGAAGTATTCATGGCCATTGAAATGTTCAATGAATATATAGACTTAGGTTCAAATGAGAATAATTATGTAATTGAGAACGCGAACAAAAATCTGAGCCATATAATTCTTTTTGCCGCAAAACCTTCTTGTGTACTGGCCGGAGGAATGTGATATTCATATGTGAATATAAATGTAAGTACATTCTCGTGTTTACCATCACTGCCACCGCAACCACCATTGTCACAGCCACCGCTACCCCTGCCACCACCACCACCACCTCCGCCACCAACTACCATATTCATATATGAATAATCATTTGAGAATAGAAACATACTTTTATATATATATATATATATATATATATATATATATATATATATATATATATATATATATATATATATATATATATCCTTCATCGTCACCAACACCTCTGCTATCCACCGATATCACCACTGCCGTTGCCACCACCATCGCAACTACCGTCACCACCTCCACCACCAACCACCATATTCATATATGAATAATCACGTGTGAATAGACACAAAATTATTCATATATGAATATACTTATATACGAATATATGAATATACTTATTCATATATGAATATTATCTCTTCCGTCGACCCGATACGCTAGAATGCTTAAGCGGCAAATTTGAAATATGTGATATAGATTTTGTTTTCGCGTTCTCGATTTCATAATTGTTCTCATTTAAACATTCTTTTATATATATATATATATATATATATATATATATATATATATATATATATATTATATATATATATATATATATATATATATATACACAATTAATAAATTAATGATTATTTCATTAAAATATGCTTTTATAGTTCAATGTATTCTAAAAAAGTGATAATGTCATACGAAAAATGAAATGATAACATGACAATTAAATTATATATAGCTCAATGTACTATGAGTCGTCTCATACAATATATTTTTGGTCTTATATCCATTTGCTAAGTTATTCAAAGTATAATATTGATACCTGTACGCCTGTGGATGTCTCCATAATTCCATTTGGGCTAATGTCATAAAAACCCTCAAGTTTTCAGGGTTTTATCGGTTTTCCCCAAAGTTGAATTTTATGTACATTTTTATCCTAACATTTTCCAAAAAATGTTCGGTTTTACCATTTTACCGGTGATAACAGGTTACCATCATATTAACTTCATAAAAAACCCTTAAGTTTACAGTTTTTTTTACGTTTTTACCCTTAAGTTTATAATTTTTTTACACTTTTACCCTATGTATTTTTTTCATATTATACGAATTCATGCAGAAAAATCATATTTATATACGAAAAAAATTTAATTAAATATTGTATTTACATTTTTTAATGTTATTTCTTATATATATATATATATATATATATATATATATATATATATATATATATATATATATATATATATGTGTGTGTGTGTGTGTGTGTAGCTTTTTTCTTGGATAAACCATTTAAGATGTAAAAAAACAAATTAATATGTTTTTAGAACTACAAATACGTATTTTTATGTATTTAAAAATATACATATCAATAAAAAAACTTGTTCAATCATAAACATGTTTATATAAGTATATACATATATTTTTAGAAGTGTAAATATGTATTTTGATATATGTTTTTTTAAAGTATAAATATATTTTTAGAAGTATAGATACATATTAATATATAAAAATGTAAAAATATGTATTTATACTTCTAAAAACTATATCTATAAAACACGTATTCATAATTCTAAAAATATTATTTATCTTTTTAAATGATATAACCTTGCAAAAACACACACACACACAAACAAATATATATATATATATATATATATATATATATATAACATTAAAAAAATACAATATTTAATTAAACATTTTTTCGTATATAAATACGATTTTTCTGCATGAATACGTATATTATGACAAAAAAATACTTAGGGTAAAAGTGTAAAAAAATTATAAACTTAAGGGTAAAAACGCAAAAAAAATGGTAAAGTTAAGGGTTTTTTTGCGAATTTAATATAATGGTAACCTGGAAAACCTGTTATCACCGGTAAAAGGGTAAAACCGAACATTTTTTTCGAAAATGTTAGGGTAAAAACGGACATAAAATTCAACTTTGGGCAAAACCGACAAAACCTTGAAAACATGAGGGTTTTTATGACATTAACCCTATTTGAAAACCAAAACAGTTCAGATTTTCAGATATCCAGTTTTGAACACCCTATCGAGTATTATATGTTTTGAGCCTAATAATCAGTTCTCTTTCTTTGCTTTCAAGTGACTAACTAGTGCAAAAAAAATATCATTTTATATGTAAATCTCGGACTGACTCCAAATCAAGTTCATTTCGTTTGCTAATGTTTATTATATGTTTATCATTGGGAGGGTTTCTATAATGTCCCGAAAATCCAAGGTAAAATTTTCATTTTTAAAACAATAAATCATAGAACGAGTTGTTCTAAAACCGATCAAAGTGAATATATTATTTAAACATGAGAGTAATATCATTAATTACCAATGCAGGAAACTCTGGGGGATGTTGTGTAGTTACGTCAGGTCCTTCCCTTTCGAAACGAAAGTACCTGAAACCATAAAGATGAGACCGTAAGCACAAAGCTTAGTTAGTTCCCCAAAATACCACATACCAAAAACATACAAGTGCTATGGGCTACTCCCATGGTCTTTCCTTGCAATGTCGTGGGCCAAATTCCGGTCTTACATACGAGTGCCAAGGGCTAGATCCTGGTCTTTCATACAATCGCCAGGGGCCAGATCATTGTCTTTCATGCGATTACCAAGGGCCAGATCCTGGTCTTTCATATAATTGCCAGGGGCCAGATCCTGGTCTTTCATGCAACTATCACAAAGACAACTAGCATTCCACATAATAAGTAATGGGCCGACATTGGTGCATTCAACCCATGTATATAGTGAGAAGAATCACCTCTAACAGAAGATAGCTGAATCAACACTTAATCTGCTGCGAACACTGCTCCTCACACTAAACATAATCTAGAAACGACTCCAATCAATAACTAAGGTTTTATCTGAAACATCCCAAAAATAAGACCCAAAACTTTTCATTTTTTATTTAATAGCACAGTATTCCAAAGCATTATCCATACAACCCAAATGAAAATAAGTGTATCAAACGTCATATCACTCAGAGTAATATCCCAAAAGCGGAAACCATGTGGTGTGTGCCCTACAATCATCTCGAGCTCTTCCATTTGAAAATCGAAGTACCTGAAAACTGTAAGCACAAAGCTTAGTGAGTTCCCCAACATACCACATACCATACAAACATAAATCACATACTGGGCCCCCGCCCTCCATCGTGCCTCGCCCGGTATCGAGTCCTACTCGGCCTCGGGCCCCGCCCGACATCGAGTCCCGCTCAGATTATAGATCTGTCAATCACCAGGCCCTGCCTGACATTGGGCCCCGCGTGATACACACTTAACCATGTAACCATTTAATCATATAAACTTATAATCTTACTAGGGTGTTAACGGGGCGGTTCGGCTCGGATAGTAATAAAATTGTGAACCGTGGCCGCGGGGCGGGTACCTCATGTGTACTATGTTGGATTAGGTGTCTAAGTCCATAACTATAATTGGTATATACTTGAATTGAT